AGGCAATTTACTGTCTGTGAAAACCCACTGCAGGGTCAGCTATGCATTGGTTCTGACTTGATGGTTCACAACAACAGCAGTTTCCATGTATATTGAATAGTTTGTGATTGAAGAATGTCCCTGTATCTATCTAATGGTCTGTGTCTATGCTCTAGTCGCATAGTCCTTAGGCAATTGCTCTGGTAGCGGAAAGGTTGTACCTCTCTGACAACCCAAACCCACCAGCAGCTCTGTGGGAGAACGATGGGCAGTCTTCTTTCATGTGATTTATAGCCTCAGAAACCCATGGAGAGTCAGCTATCAGGTGGCTCCGACTTGAAGGCAATGAATTGAGTTGTTGAATTTAATACATATGTGCATATATCGTGGAAAGCATGCAGCCAGGGTACTCCTTAGAGTAGAAATGATCAACCCGTTCATACCTGTGGTTAGAGGAGGCCAATCCTTGGAATAGGAGATCATGCTCAGAAAAATAGAGGGTCAGCAATAGAGAGGAAAACCCTCAACATGACAGATTGACACAGTGGCCGGATCAGTAGGTTCGAGTATAGCAGGGATGGTGAGGATGGCACAGGAGGGGGCAGAGGTCAGGTCTGATGCTCATAGGGTCACTAGGAGTCATGTTGACTTGACAGTATCCGACAACGGCCACACACACACACACACACACACACGCACACTTTTCTGAAACAATTCTGACGAAACTTACATTGTTAGGGGAGAAGACAGTTGGAAACTTATAAATGCTAGGGGGAAATGAATCAAGATGAGAGGATAGGAGGTGGAGAGTGAGCTGCAATTTTAAGTAGGGAAGACAGAGTTGTCCTTATTGTAAAGCAAACATTAGAGTTAGGTTATTATCACTTACATTTTACATTGCATCATGGCATGGGAGGATGGGAGAATGGAGATGAGAACAGAACAAAACATGAGAGCCTACTGACTTGAAAGAAAACATGAACATTTCCTTTAATATAACTTGAGTCAAAATGGAAACCAAATTCCAAGAGTGAAGTTTCCAGAGGGCTGGTTGTATCTTGTTCATTGGAACAGAAAACCTTCCTAAGGTTATCATGCACGCCTCTACTTCGTGAGCAATAGACACCCAGTAGAGACCCCAGGCCTGTGACTGATGGAGGGGCATCCTGGTGACAGTCCCACCCGTTACTGGACTATCGGGCAGCACAGCCCTCTTGGCCACTTTCAACTGCTTGTCTCTTCGTGCTCATCTGAGTTTGAGTGCTTACAAGTCCCATTCCATCACCTTGACCTGCATATGGCTACTTAAATCTAAATGCAAATAAATGTAACGTAAAAATTCAGTTTCTCTGACATGCTAGTCACGTTTCAAATGTTCGGTAACCACATTTGGCTAATGGCTACCAGATAAGCATAGATATAGAATGTTTTCATTATTACAGAAAGTTCTCTTAGTATTTGGTGTTTGTATTTTCATCAGTCATCCATATATACATACGCAGACACACATATACACACACATTCATTTTCTATAATTTGGGGGTGTGTGTGATGCTGCCATCAGCTTTCTGGCCTATTTTGTGTTTTTTATTTGTTTTCTCTCATACAATCTTGAACAAGAACTTCAGGATTTGTGTGAAGAGAGCGCCAGGAGCTCTCACGGTGCACTGGATTAAACATTTGGGTCACTAAGTGACCTTATGACATAAAATCCCCTTTTCTCGTGGTTGTTGCTTTGCATCTGTGCTGTGGATGTGGATAAGAGAATCTAGCCATTGACTTACTGTGGGAGAAGTGACACCAGACTTGGCAGCTGAAATTGTACATCCCTAGAAATGCTTTAGGCTCAGTCAACGGTCTCTTCTTTGGAGTGGTGCTACCCAGTGAATGTTTACTGACTGACTGTACTGAGACCAAGCACTCTGTTAGGGCCTACAGATAGAGATCAAAACGAGCATGGCCACAGGCTCTGTATAAATAACAATGTGAGGGGTAAAGATAGCCATCAATGGGTAGAATTTAATTTCTTTATTCTCAGAAAGGCCCAGGGTCCCCTGAAATTGCAGAGAAGGGTGGCGCATGACCCAGCCTGACTGGGGGTGAGAAGGGGAAGATAAGAAATTTGGCCTAGAGGATGTTTTCCTGTGGTTTTTGAGTGGAACCCTAAGGGATAAATATGTATTAGTCACATGATAGGAATCCCTAGGGAATGCAAATGTTAAGGCAGTCATCTACTAACTGCAAGAATGATGGTTTGAATCTGCTGAGAGGCATCTTGGATGAAAAGCTTGACAGTCTGCTTCTGAAAGGTCACAGTCCTTGGACATTCTATGGAGAGCATTTTTACTATGTAGCAGGAAGTGTTGCTTTGAGTGGAAATTGGCTTGATTATAACTATTATTTAAAGTTAGATGATGAAGTTGGACAGACATTAGCAAGATATAGTGTCCCATACTGTACAAAGACTCTCAGGAATGAAGTAAAATAGCATGTGTGATATGAGAGGAGGACCATCAATGCTGAGTACCGTCGAGTCAGACTCAACTCCTAGTTGACCCTCCAGTGGGTTTTCAGAGACAGTAAATCATCACATGGGATGAGACTGCCCATCTTTCTCCCATGGAGCAGCTTCTGGATCTGAACCCTATATTTTTGGGTTGGCAGTGCAATTTCTTAACACTAAGCCACCAGAGCTCCCTTTAGTATGTTTGAAATAGAAATTAAAATGGTCCAGTTTCTGAAGAGCTGTAGTGAACTAGTGGTCAGGAGCTGCACTGAGGCACATTGTTCGAATTAGTCAGCTGCTCTGTGGGAGAAAGATGGGCAATCTCCTCCCATGAAATACACAGCCTCTGAAAACCCACTGGAGGATTAGCTATGAGTTGTTTGGGACTTGATGGTACATAATAACAAGAACATCTGCAGAGCTAGATCGACTTGATGGGCTTTCTGAAGTAGTCAAAGACGAGTGAGGAACTTCCAGTAGTTCAAGTATGCTCCTCTGATATCACTGTGAAGGTTAAGTTGAGAGAGCTGGTTCATGGCTGGAAAATCAGTAGTGACGGTGTGGCAGGGAGGAACTTGCCACTGTCCAAAAGAGAGGTGATGAGGGCCCCCAGTGAACATGTGTAATTGGATAGATTGGAAATGTGGTTTGATCCATGTTTAAAGAGTTAAAATTAGCCCTGTGTGGAGATTGATTAGATAGAAGAAAGGAGAGGAATTCAAGCTCACTGCAGCCTTTCAGGAAAGAAATGAATTTGAGCTCTTCTTCCATGTTTGTGGGGTTGAGTTTTGACCAACAGGTGCTGCTAATGGCTTTCCTTGGCAACTGTGTTCTCTAGGTTACGGTTAGACTCTTCAGGACTCCATCAATTATTGAAAGACCTTGATTTGCAGCTTGACCTTAGTGAAGTACCACTCTTCTCTGCCTTTAGTTTTGCAGTGCCCTGTGAAAATTTATAGAAAGATGGCTTCATTTCTAGGGGCTCCAGTCCAGATGCCAAAATTACCCCAACACTGGAACATCCCTTGGGTGAACCATTGAGCCTGGTCTTCATTAGAAACAGCTGAAAACCATAAGGAAAATTCCCTTTCTGCGCCAACAATAACCCCAGTCCAATTTCCAGGTAACTCTGGCTTTCAGAAAGTTATGAATCTCGTAATGTGTCTAGAGGAACCCTTATGTCTATTTTTACACACATTTCTCATGAAAAAGCTAGTGGCGTTCTTCCTTTCTAGAGCCACAGATTACTTTTTTGAGATTGTAAATTAAGTTCTGAATTTTGGTGAGGACACACATATAGATCTGTAGCCAATCACTTTAAAATAAAAGCACGGGTGTGGTTTAGGGGTGGAGACAGAAGTAGGGCATGAGCTCCTCCAATCTATGATGGAGACAGTTTTGGAGCGAAGAATTCTCTCCTACCTGCTTTGCACTTTCAGTGGATTTTCAACATAACAGCATTTATTGTCCTCTTTTAAGATTTCAGAGATGCTTTCTAGTTTGTGACGTTAAGGCAGTGATGTTAAATATATGTTAATATTTTGGGGTTTCCTGGCATTACTTCTTGACTGCATGGCTGAAGTCACAAAACAGAAGGCGTCTATGATTTTCTTTCAGATTGTTATATTTAGCTGCTACAACTGCGGAATATTTTCTTTACTTGTCATTTTAACTATTTCATCAGGTTAAATCTTCAGTGGCTTGTCAGTTGTTGAATTGACCTCTTGGAAGACATGAAACCCTGCCTCCTATTAAGAAAAATCCAGGCAAGTCTAGTAGAGTTAGGAAAGATGGCATATTTTTTCCTAAGTGAGACAATGGGATTATAGGATAATTATGAAACATCTTAAAATATTTTTTGTTTGAAAAATAGCAATGTGTTTAGTGATGAACAAATGTTATAAATCGAGAGGCTTGGGAAGTTTCCACATCCTTCCAGAGTGCTTTTTATAAAGGAGAAAAGCAAACAGCTTTTTCTGTGGCTCTTGGGAGTGGTTACATTAACCGTTTGTTAAAAGCTGGGTTTATGAAGAACATGAGTTTGAAAGGGTAGCCTTCACAAACTGCCATTCTTTGCGTGATGTTAATGGAGGTTGTTTAGCAACATTTTAAACTAGTTTTAAGGAAAGATAAATATGTGTTTTATTAATCCCAAGGGGAGCTTTCTGAAATGCGTTTTCTTGATAAATAATTACTGTTGTTCTGTGAAATTCATGACTAGGTAGGATGAGAAAGAAGATAAAAAACCATTCTCTCTTCAATTTGTGATTTAATACTAGCTGGTCAAGGAAGTCGAGAAGCCTTATGAATCGTCTGTTATATTATCTTGACTGTCATTTTTCTCCCCCGGGATCCTGGATTACACCCACTATCTTTCTCTCGTGGCTCTGAAACTTTGATCTTCTTAAACCGGTTTGCCAGATGCAGGGGATCGCACATGTGTGACCTCTCGTGTGCCAGTTTCACCTGGCTGATCGGAAACCATAAATTAATCCCGTACGACTTTTATTTCTAGGCATTACGGCAGAAGCTCTGGTGGTGACCTCTTTCGATGAACTGCAGAGAAGGGCTCCAGAAGCCAGAGGGAAGATTGTTGTTTATAACCAACCATACATCAACTACTCGAGCACCGTACTCTACCGCGTTCAAGGAGCAGTCCAGGCAGCCAAAGTGGGCGCGGTGGCCTCCCTCATCCGATCCGTAGCTTCCTTCTCCATCTACAGGTTTGTCATGCTGTTAATTTGAATGTCTTCCAGCAAAACAGTTCTCCACAAGAGAAAAGGCTTAAGAAATCAAAACAGATCATTCCAATGAAAATACAGACTGTTTATTACATTTTTCTCCATCCCACGTTTGACCATTTGTGTAAAATCTCTTCTCTGGAATCCTTTTGGGATTCCAAACAACATTTGAGCCTTCCTTTAAAAAAGCTTTCTGTGTTCATAATGATCCCATAACTTTCCTTATGTAACTAACATGTTAACGTATTTTCGTTGGCGGGAGAACTGAATTTACGCCTGTGTTGCATCAAAGATTCCTAATGGCTTTGGAGAAGGCCAGCCTGTTTTCCACTGCTGTGGGAGAAGTGAAATAAAAATAGAGTGGGTATAATGATGGCGGTGTGGGTTCTGTAGAGCAATGGAAAGAGTTGACGAGTCAAAGACCTGAGTTATATAGACCTGGCTCTGCCACCAGTCAGTTAAGCGGCCTTGGGAATGTTTCTTAAACTCCCTGGGCCTCAGTTCTCTCTTCTACAAACCAGTGATGATGAAGAATAATAGATGTACACAATTTAAACAAAATTTGTACCGTCTTAGAATTTATTTTACAGTTTAAATAGAAAGCTCTGGTGACCAAGTGGCAAGAAGCTGCACTGCAATCCTGAAGGCACCTGATTTGAACCTTGTCAGCTGCTCTGTGGGAGAAGGATGGGCAATCTCCTCCCTTATGATTAACTGCCTCTGAAAACCCACCAGAGGGTCTGCTATGCGTCTGTTCCTACTCGAAGGTACACAACAACAAACCAGTTTAAATATTAACAACAAACCACACTAAAGTAGCAGTGAAGTAACTGAGTGTGGTGTAATTAAATCTCCTTTCTGTCAAGTAAGCTTGCTTCACAGTGACCTGTACTACAGAGGAGAACTGCCCCATAGGGTTACAAGGCTGCAATCTTTATGGAGGGAGCACTGCTAGAGAAGTCCAAAGGGAGTTTCCTGTTAATCCAAAGCCAGCACCTCCTTGGAGGTTCAAATCCATCAGTGGTTCTGTGGGAGAAAGACTGGCAGTCCCCTCCCATAAATGTACAACCTCTGCAAACTGACTGAAGGGTCAGCCATGAGTCAATTCTAGTTGGAAAGCAATAAGCTTTTAAGTTGAATATGAAAGTGGGTATCTGTGTTTTTCTCTCTTAAACTCTTGGGCTCAAACCATGGACCTTTCAACTAGCAACTAAATTTAAGAATTTTGTCTCTTGGGCACCTTCAGTGTCAACTTACATAGTTGTTTTAAGAATAAATGCAATAATGTTAAGAAAGATACTCAATTAACTTATACAGGTCTATGTAAGTGGTTGGTAGTATTGCTTGAGGACAACTTAAAAGTTGTTGAATCCTTTGTAGTTTTGACCAGGCAGTTTTAGGATGAAATTCCATATCTCACTGAATTAAAAAGCCTAAAAATTGCACCTGCAAATCTTGCATTTTGTTTAATAGCTATATTTGGCAGTGTCACGTATTAAAGATAAAATAGTTGAGGACATTGGATGAAAGAAGCACCATCTTAGTGGTGTAGTCTGGTTTCTCTGAGATTAGGGGGGAAAAGCATGCAAAAAATATTTGCAGATAGAATTTGCTTGGGTTTCAAAGTTGGATTTTTGGTGTCTGTAGTTAAGGGAGGTTTATTCTGCACAGTGAAGCTGGAGATGCAACTGCTTGACCTTGATTAGCACCCTGTGCTTTTGAAAGTAAAACGGCTGAGGTGGAGCAGTGAACAACTAGGAAACGAAATCAGGGGGAATTGTCCAAAAGTGCAGAGAAAAGGAAAGAGACATTTTTCTTTCACAGGGAAAAGGTATCTTCCCATGGGAGAAAGATGAGACATGTTAAAACCTGTTGTGAGAAGTTTTATGAGAGAGAAACTCATTACACTGATGTCATAGTGCTAAAAATAATGGTCTTTGTAGGGTCTTTAATGGTTTCATGACTGGTGAAATAATGATTGGACCATATTCCTCTGGATGGTGAACTCTTCCCAAGAGGGAAGTCCTAAAATGGCCAGCTTATTCCCCCAGAATACCTCACTTACCCCTTGGAACAACATACCAGCAAGCTGTGGCCATTTCACCATGATTTCACTGGTCATGAGATCTAAATTACAGAGTTAGCCTGTTGTTTTGTGCAGCTGGGTAACTGCCAGGAATCTTGAGAACTACCACTCATAAGACTAATAAATTCCCAGATGACTTCATGCACAGTGAGCTGCTGGGGTTCATTGGATTTTTTTTTAAAGAAAAACAACACAACTAGCTTAATGAAGACATCTGAAAACTCAAGCCACGACCTACGAGCACAAGAAGCATTTTGTCCAGCATAAACCCAAACTCAAACCTGTTGCCCTCAGTTCTATTCAGACCCTTAGCTAGCCTGTAAGGACAGAGTAGAATTTGCTCTTAGAGGTCTCAAGCCTGTAGCATTTGCAGAAGTCGACTGGTAGACCTTTCTCTTGAGGAGCATCTGGTGGTTTCAAATATTTGTCTTTCTGAATAGCAGTAGCTTGCTTTAACCATTGTGCCACCAGGGCTCCCTTTATCTAGCATAAGACTTAAGAATTTGTCTTTAGCTTCTGAGATTTGTGGGTCAGGAACGCGTGTATTTCTAGATCTAGACTGATTAAATTTTTTCACTGGTTTCATAGTCAGTGAATTTCACTAGATATTTAGCTTTTCTAACACCATTCTTCAATACTTATATAATAATGTTACCCTTAACATAGTGTTTTACAACCTCTGTCCTGTTTGCTCGGAAAGCAACTCAAGAGTCCAAGTATGTTGTTGTTGTTATTGTTATGTACCATTGAGTTGCTGGTGACTCATAGGGATCCTATGTACAATAGCTCTGCACCTTGCCCTAACTTGAGGCAGTCTCATTGACTCTGACACACCTATTTCCATTACCCTCATTACTGTATCATACACTTGATCTGGGTTCTTCCTCTCCTGAGCTGTCCCTCTGCCCTTCCAAACATGATGTCCTTCTCCAAGGACTGGTCTCTCTTGCCCACATGCCCAAAGTATGTGAGGCAGGGTTTCAAAATCTTTGCTTCCAGGATAGAACTTGGTTTCACCATCTCTAAGACCTCTTGTTTTGGAAGTCCCTGATAGGCCCAAGGCTCTTCTCCAGCACCACAGCTCAAAGGAATTGATTCTTTTTCTGTTATCCTTTGTCATTGTCCAGCTCTCGGATGCATAGCAAGTAACTGTGAAGACCATGGCATGGATCAGGCACACCTTAGTCTCTAGACTGACATCGTTACTCTTAGCACTTTAGAGTGGTCCCTGACAGCAGATTTTCCTAATGCAATTTGTCTTTTGATTTCCTAACTGGTAGTGCCAACAGTGTTGATTGTGGAGCCAAGCAAGCTGAAATTGTTAACAACCTCAATCTCCTCTCCTTCCATTATGGAGCTGCCAGCTTTCCCATTGGTGAGAATCTTTGTCTTCTTGATGTTGAGCTTCAATCTATATTGAAGTCTACAGTACTTTACCTTTTGCATCAAATGCTTCAGCTCTTCCTCTGTATTGGCAAGCAAGGTTGTGTCATCTGTATATTGCAGGTTTTTGAAGAGTTTTCATCCAATCCTGATGCCACACTCTTCATAAAGCCCAGCCTCCTGAATGATCTGTTATGCATATAGATTGAAATGATATGGAAGCAGGATATATCCGTGCCTCACTTCTTTCCTGATTTGGAACCACACAGTGTTTCTTTGCTCTGTTCTGAGGACTACTTCCTGGTCCAAGTATAGGTTTTGCGTGAGCACAATCAAGTGTTCTGGGATTAATATTATTATCAAGGTTAGCCACAATTTGTTGTGATCCACACAGTTAAAGGCCTTTGCACAGTCAATGAAACACAGACATTCCTCTGGTACTCTTTGCTTTTGGCCAAGATTCATCTGACATTGACAATAATGTCTCTATTGCCACACCCTCTTCTAAATACAGTTTGTATTTCTGATAGTTCTCTGTCAATGTACTGTTCCAGTCACATACGTCACATTCTTCAGCAGAATTTTGCTTGCTTGTGATATTGTTCGATAATCTACACACTCTGTTGGATCACCTTTTTTTGGAATGATAATAAATATGGGTCTCTTCCAGTCAGTTGGCCAGGTAGTTGGCCTCTAGATTTCTTGCATAACTTGGTGAGCAACCAGGGCAGCATCTTTTCTTGAAATATGTGAATTATATGCCATCAATTATTTGGGGCTGGTTTTTTGGCAGTTCTTTCAGAGCACATTGGTTTTCCATTTTCATCACCATTGCCTCTTGATGACATGTTATTTCAAGACATTCTCTTGTATTATCAACTTCTTTTAGGTACAGTGACTCTGTGTACTCTTTCCATCTTCTTTTGATGATGAATCCTGGATGATTCACTATTCTGCCCATAATATCCTTAAGTATTACAACTTGAAGCTTGAATTTGTTCTTTGGTTCCTTCAGATTAGGAACTACCTTAGTTCCTTCACCATATAGTTTAGGCTAATTATAAGTGCCCTTATCTCCATTTCACAACAGAGAAATGAACCTTCAAAGAATTAGAATGAGCAATTCCACATATTAACACATTTATGGATTTAATTTAGTGGAATAAAGACCCCATAGTACAGCAAAACACACAAAGACTGTCTTTTTAACCATTTCTAGCTAATTGCTTTTAGCGCCAAATTTCTTTCAAAAGAATTCTGTATTTCTCATTTCTTCTTGCTTTTATTCACTCTGCAGCTTATTTTAACGTGTCTTTTGCCATTACTGACATGGAACCTGTGATGTTTGCAAACATCTGCCTAGTTGTCAACCTTGAGGGATGCTTTTCTGGACATTAACATACCTGACATTTTTTGAATACTTGTTAATATATATTGGCTGCTTTCTCAGGTTTGAGCCTCTTTTCTCTTTTGTTTCTGTGCGTTCTTACAATATCTGTCATTCTTTCTTTCT